CAGGATCACCGCAAGCTTCGGATGCCGAATCGCCTGACACATGAAAGGTGAAGCGTGAGGTTGAGGTTGGGTCAGGAAAACTCAGAGAGTTAATTGAAGTAGGGTCTGGTATGCGTGTTTCGGAGACGCAGCATACATCTAATTTGAAGGCTTCAAGGGTTCCAGCCAAGACCGGTGAACTACCCCTCACCGTGTTCATTTGCTGGAGTTGCTTCTTCATGGACGGATGTGGATAGACGAAGTAAGCCAAGAGGTGCCCAAGCAGCTGGCTTCGTGAGACAGATTTGTGTGGCCTCTATCCATTGACCTTTCAGGCATGATTGGATCTGCGTCTATGAAAATCCATGTGCAGCCTTGTGTAGCTCGTAGGATCATGGAGGCACACAAGCCATCACGCCACGTCAAGGTGCAGTCTCGTGATGGGAAGGTAGCAGCTATTAATGTGATTAGTCGTGAATAGATGTGCAGATTTTCGCCAGTAGTAGACAATCGTGACACTACGTTTTCTCCTGGCAGCTGATCTCTCTGCTACAAAAATTAGTGTCCATAGGAATCATCGGAATGTGTGCAAGTCTGGCTTGCTACTCAGGTCATGACCGTGAGCGAATAGCCCCTATATGAAACAATAAACTATGAGGGCGCGAGGTGCATTCTTGGAGAATAAGGTGTGTCGATAGTAACGATATCACTGATATATATTATACACATGTCTGACGCCAGACCGTGTGCCAAAAAATCATGGTACAATTATCTTGATAAAAAGAAAATTGTTTCACGATTTGCATGTGAACTGAGTACTACTAATTTGTCCAGGCCAAAGCAGGTGGATTTTCTTGAGGAATCCACAACCGGAGCCTTCGGCTAGCCAAAGCCTGACCCGCAAGGCATCGGGGCGGTGTGGGAAAACTGCAGTCCATTGGGAGCCGGTGTCCAGTTCATCGGATCACACGCCTTTTGGGCGGGGTCAAACGTCCAAGGTACCCAATACACCGATCGCCAATCGACTCGGTGACCACTGCTACAACCAGGAAGGTGTGCGTGGTTCGTGCGCTTCCTCTTGGTTGGTTTGGAATCAGGTTTTTGGCCAACTCCCCTACGTGAACTACCAGCGGTCCACCGACCCGGTTGTAGCCCTAGATTTCGGCTGTTCGTCCTCAATTTGGTGGAAAAACACCGCCAAGAGAGAGTGAGTAGGGCTTCTTCAGCGGATGCTATTTGAGACGCTTGGTCGTATGGGAGCATTTCACGAGGTGCAAGGGAAGGGTGACCAGCCGCAACCCTAGACACCCACCCCCGACCATACTGAGGCTTTCAGGGCCACGATATTACTGAGCCATACTACAGAGAATTTTGGTGGATATCACGAAACCTCAACGTTGGTTGTA